AGAGGGAGGGAGAGGGAGAGGGAGAGGGAGAGGGAGAGAGAGGGAGAGAGAGAGGGAGAGAGAGAGAGGGAGAGGCCGACCCCAGACGGCCTTAAAGCCTCCCACGCCACTCACGACCACACAGCTGAGCCGGCATGAATTCATAACGTGCTAAATTGTCTCGGCCTGCGGGGCGGGGCGCACCGGGGAGTCTGGCCTCCGCCCCGCCTGGCACCGCCCGCCTCTGCATGGCCCGCAGACACTCGTCTTTCGCTTGTCGCTCGCGCGCGGCGACCAGCGCGCTCCAGGCGAGCACCAGTTTACCACAAAGAATCTTCCCTCTCTATCCCTCTTCTCTCTCTCTCTCCCTCTGTCTCTCTCTCTCTCTCCCTCTGTCTCTGTCTCTCTCTGTCTCTCTCTCCCTCTGTCTCTGTCTCTCTCTGTCTCTCTCCCTCTCTCTCACTACCTCTCTCTCTCACTCTCTCTCTCACTCTCTCTCTCACTCTCTCTCTCACTCTCTCTCTCCCTCTCTCTCACTATCTCCCTCTCTCTCCCTCTCTTTTCTTCTTCTCACTCTGTCCCGTCTCTGTCCCCTCTCTCTCGCCCGCTTCCACCCCCCCTCTCCCTCTCTCTTTCCCCTTTCTCTCCTCTTCCCCCCCTCCCCTCCCCGGAGGCTGGGGATCGTGGCACGCGGCGCGGTGCTGGCCCTAGTATTCTTTCTGTCCGAGCGGAGCAGCGCGCGCGCAATCTCCCCACATTCATCACGGGTTGGGCGTGGTGGAAGGACCCTGTACACTCACAAAAACTGTCTCTTGTTTCTTGTATATTTCTTCTCGTTCTCGTTTTAAGTAAACGCTGTATCAAGAGCATTCAAATTTATTCTTGAAACAAGCTGGTATTATCTTTCGTGCAAGAGAAAAGTCTTATTTCAAAGGCTCCATTGCCTTGTTCGAAGGGTGAATTGAATTTCATCTTTTGTCGGCATGCACCTGAAACAAAAGAGCACATTTTCGGGGTGTACGCCGTACGCCGACTCCTGTTCTTTTTACCTCACCGCACGCCGGGCCATGCCGCGCCACCGACGCCGCTCCGGGCTGACCCTTCTTCCCATTCTCTCTCTCTCTCTCTCTCTCTCTCTCTCTCTCTCTCTCTCTCTCCCTCTCCCTCTCTCTGCCTCCCTCCCCCTTCCTCTCGCTTGCACAGTGCTCTGCTTTGGCCCACATTCTTCCACATTTGAACGGTGGTGCTGTCAGGTCGTCGTTGGGAGGAACCCACGCTGGCAGACTGGGAAAGACTTCTTGCTACTGAGCGCCCGCAGCGCGGCCGCCGGCCCCCAAGACGCTGGTGACCGGCCGACATTAGAACCCCTCTCGGCCGCTGACAGCTTTATAAACGTCACCCACGCTCACGTCCCCGTCCTCCTCTACTCCATCTCGCGGGCTGGGCCGGCCGCGCCGCTCTTTCCTCTCGCAACACATCGAGCAGCGCACGATTGCGTTTGTTTGCTCTCCCCTTTATGACTCTCTTTGCTCGGCGACACCGCTACAAAGCGGATCCGCCGGGGAAAAACTTTTCTTTTCCCTGCAGATGCTTTGACTACTTACCGGACGCGTTGTAGGGAAGCGGTGGGCTGTGCAAGGGGGTGGCTGCGCGGGGCTGCAGCCCCACCCCACACCCTCTTGATGCGGACGGGGGCGAGGGGATCGGTTGCGATAGGAAATGGCGTGGAGTCCCTCGGCCGCGGGGTCTGTCTGGCGGGTGAGCCGCGGACGCCTGCTGACGGCCGCGTAGGCAAGCCTGCAGCACGCGCGCGCGTTGCAGCCGTGCTGTTGCCTACGCGGCCGTCTGCAGGCGCTCCGCGACAACCGCGCGGCTAGTGGAGACTCTAGACTAGGGCCCTCAAAACTCAAAACCCAGACCGGCGTGCACCCGGGTAACCCTGGTAGGAACTAGGTAAACGGCTCGTACCGGGTAACAGCGGGTAACCCGGGTATCCGGGTACCCGGGTAGGCCCGCTATGTCAAATTGCCTCCTTACAGGCGTGGTTCCACCGGTTCTACCCGGGTACCCGGGTAAACCCGTGTTACCCGGTGAGACCCGTTCACGCGGTTCCTAACCGGGCGGGCGGGTACTCGGGTTACCCGGGCATACGGGTATAAGTGAGAGCTTTACTCTAGACTTGTGGCGGCCCGTGCGCGCCGCCGGCAGAACCCTGACCGTTGCGAAAATCGAGATGGAAAGTCCAAATGGGACCGTTAACCTTCACCCACTGTCAATAGTGGTTGTACGGGGGAAATTTCCTCAAAGCGTATCCAAAAATTACAATTTAAAATTGGAAATAACAAAATTCAATATCTAATTGGGATTTTAAGGAACCCGAGCAGGAATGTGGGGTGACATATTTACAGCATATTTGGTTAATGTTAGTGACGAAAATTTGTGACGATATTTTTTGTACGGTGCATTAGACGATCGTTGGAGCTAAAAAGCTTCTCGGTTTTCGGTTTTCAGTCCCCCCCCCCTCCTATTCGGCCTGTGAGAGTAGCGCCCCGCGGTGCCCCCGCCCAGCGCCTCCCCCTCATCGCTACCCCGCGCGCAACCGAGCTTGGCGCCGCGGCCGTCAGGTGGCGCCTGCCGCAGCCCTGCCGCAGCCCCAGGGCCCCATGGGCGTGTCCGGCCCCGCCAGTCGGCCAGCGCTCGGCGGCGGGAGCGGAGCGGAGCGAAGCGGAGCCCAAGCCGACTGCGCGGCCCCTGCAGAGCGCTGAGGAGCGTGCTCAGCCTCGCCCCGCCCAGCCAAGCAGCCAAGCCAACAATAAAACACGCTCAATGCCTTTAGCAGATGTTCGGGGCGTTTGGCGTAGTGAAGAGTCCACTTTCATGCGCTGTTCCTCGCCGACCTTTCTGGTCCATTCGGCTAGCACACATCCCCTGCTCCCATTCTCCTCCTCACCTTCTTGCGTCTCAGGTTCCAACGCTTCTTAGAAGCACCCTACCCCCATTCCTGGC